GTTGCAGTGAGGTGTACCTTAGAAGCATGTTCGATGAATCCTCAATGATGCAACAAGACGGGAAGGAAATCCTGAATCAATGCAGTGGTAAAAGTCCTCAGTTGAACCATTCCATCAGGGAGTAGTCGGCAGTAGAAGCAGCAGTCACAATGCAAGTGGAAACTGCATTTGTAAATTGCAACCTGAAGCGGATAAAAATAAATGCTGCATTAAGGTATTTTGCCTCCAAGATTTGGAGGACAAAAAACTTCTTGCTACTTCTTGTTCATCCCCATCTGGTTAGTTTAAAATTGAAATTCATATAGCTGATTTTCATAAATAACAGGTCTGAATACACGTTGTGGAACTTATTAAATTATTTTTGCAGTGCCACATAATGATTTACTGGACTCCCATTGCTTATTACACTGATGTATCTGGAAAGTACTGTACAGTACATTGAAGAGTTTTCTCCTTGATGTTTTGTCCTCTCTGACCTATTTCCCTCGTGGAGAATACTCTGGGCTATAATCTTTCTTCTCTTCAATTGAATTGTTCTGTCTGCTCTGATTAGTTGATGAGATGCAATATGGTTTGTAAAACAATGCAGCAAATTAAATAAAATTGCAACTCATACAGTCCTGTTCCGGCATCATTGAGGCCCAGGTCTCTGGTTTGGAGTGTCACAGCTTGGAATGAACACTAGAAACTCGGTTTGTGTCTGTAATGACAAATATATCCAGTATATTTTATATTTGTGTACAGTAGGAGATGGATGTGTTCAGGGCAAGGCAGTTGATGGACTACATACTATTACTTGCTATTTAATTTTGACACAAACAGCAGAGCTTTTACCAACTTCCCAGATACTCACACAGACTCTTCTGTGTTGTTTATAAAAACTTAATGAAAGCTCTTTAGTCCAACTCTCAGTTTCCTATCCCTTACAGCTGTTAGTTGTTCTATCTGTTCTTGATTCCTAACACACAGGATACTGATACAGAATGCAATCCTGCACTCCTTGTCCAGTGTTTCCAAAGTAGCACGTATTCATTGGTTTGGCTTTAGCATCAGTGAGTAGTGTTATTGCACACCAGGTCGATGAAACGTGCCATGAAAAAATATACTTATGTTTACAGCGCAAATGCTGGAATTCATATTCTGATATTAATATCAGTTAATATATTAATATCGGGTGGAGTGGTTGCTCTGTGGCTAAGGATCTGCGCCTGTGGCTGGAAGGTTGCTGGTTCAAATCCTGCAGCTGGCAGAGGAATCCTACTTTGTTGGGTCCCTGAGCAAGGCCCTTAACCCCAACTGCTCCAGGGGTGCTGTACAATGGCAGACCCTGCGCTCTGACCCCAAGCTTCTCTCCCTGTCTGTGTGTCTGTGTCTCATGGAAAGCAACCTGGGGTAGGCAAAAAAATGAATTCCTAATGCAAGAAATTGTAGAGGGCTAATAAAGTGATGTTATGTTAGGGATAATGGATAGTGCCAGGCTTTACACAGAAATTGCCGAACCCCTGTAATTTACATTTATCCCAAGAAGTATTGTGGTAAAACATTCAAATCTGATATTATGAAATATGAATGTCAAGAAAAGAATCTGAAACATAACATTTAAAAAAGCAAAAAAATGAATTAGTGACCTATATGTATGCTTTAGAAATGAAAGAAATATAAAGCTTTTTTAAAATATTTCTTAGCATATTTCTGCTTAATTTCAGAGGTTTTACATGTTGGCTCTTAATAGTTTTGAGAAGCCATTTCTATTATGAAAAAATAATATTTTTTAAATGTATGTAGAAGTACTTACCTACCATTATTTCCAAAGTGTTATTAAGCACAAATTAAATTATTTTTAAGTTTTAATTATTATTATTGTTGTTGTTTTTTTACACCTTGTTAAAGGCAATTGCATAATTAAACATTAAGATTATAGTACATAAGGAGTGAAAGGAAAAAATGAGAAAATTGCATATGGCCTTTTAGTATTGTTTGTTTAATGTTGTGGAAAGCAATAAACGTAAATACAGTTTTGGAAGTTTCTTAATAATGCCTCTCCATCCTGTTGTGCCTGTACTTTCAGATATCTACATTGGCTAGCTGTGTATCATGTTTTATGGTATACTGAACACTTTGTAAGACTAAACCACTAACAGTAGTTAAAGGGATGGTTTACTGTTTAATCTGTTTAATTATGTATGCAGATTTTATAAGATCAAAACGCAAGATGGTTAAGAGTTTGTTCTATACCTAATATAATATCTAAAATATCATTTTTGCAACTACTGTAACATGAATGAACAATTATTTTTTTTAATCAGATTTCCATTAA